TTTCAACTGGGGCCAAAAACTGCATAGAATTCACCCCAGAGCATGTAAATTTCAAAATTTTCCGGGGCCCTAAGGCAAGCCCGGGCCTCACGCCAAATTGGCTTCGCGCTGTGCACATGCAGTTTTGTATGCGAGAATATTTTCCTCTTTTTTTCAAATTGAAGAGTTGCATGCTTGTGTACAGTACATGTAACCAGATCATTAAAAAATCTGTAAGAGTGCTTATTGATGATCTCAAAAAAACTTATTAGGCAACTTTTCCCTTCCAATCCTTGGACAGAAATCGTGGACTCCAACTTGAAAATGACCCTTGGTATGATCTGGACCATCATCCTGCGGTTCGCCATCCAGGATATTTCTGTGGAAGGTAAAAATGCGTTTTGAAATACCGGGAATATGATATTGAAATCTGATCTTTTTTCATGTTGATTTGAACACCCTTAGACCCATGGGGTGTGAAAAATGGTATCGAACTTGGAATGATTTGATGTGTTATTACACTGTACATGCTGGTACATGCATTTGTATATTCTGCTTTTTTTCTGCAAAACATCACAGATTCCAGTTTAACAGACAGGTGTACCCATAGATGTTGTTCAGTTCCCCTTTTACTGTATCCAATATCAAATGCTCATTTCCCTAAAAATTATGATATATCGAATTGTTACCTTTGATGGCCTTTTAAGCCATATTCCCATCGGATTTGTTCATCTGTGCCTTTGGGCATGATGCAAAACTACAGTAAAACTGTACCAACAACCATGGTAACAGTGATGTGATTCTCTAGGTGTTGTTTCAATTGGACTTGATTCTTTTAGTCTCCCACTCAGTCGCAGTTGTTCTCCCAAAGGAAAGTCCAATGGGAACATGGCTGAAGACCACTTTCCTGTATATGTTTTACTCAAGACATTTAATGGCCCTATCTTGCTGAAAACCTGACCCTGTCCTTTTATAATGAACTTGACACTAACCGTTTGTAGATATACCCACAGGTTGAGTGCTCTCCCTACTGCATGGTTTGCATGCCACCAGCATATCACGTACATACTTCAGTACATGTATATCGCAGTCACATTTCACCTTTCTTTTTAGAATACGAGAGGTCAGTGGTGTATACATTCTGATAGAGTACCAGGTAGACACCACAAGAGAAAGCAACTTGTATGATTTAGGAGTAATTCCTACGATTTGTTCGGTTCATTCACGACTTTACAATCCCCAACTCCAAGGTACGAAACCATACAGTTGTGTATAAAACTCTGTAAGCTAGCCCGGAGCCAGCCTCGTAATGTGCATTTCAGAAATATGTCGTTTGCATTGTGCAGTTTGTAAGTGCAAGCTACATGAGGAGCATTAGAAACCGGTGAGGTCAAACCATCCACTCACCCCAGTTAACGCTATTGTGGGGGAATAGGTACAATTGCATTTCATTTGCAAGTTCACATGATGGTGTATGTCGGTGCACTGTACACGTCCATGTACGTACATTGATTCCATTACTCGCGCATACGTGCATCGTCGTGTTGAACGTCATGATCATGGTAAAGTTGACCGAGGTGGAACACTATTAAGGATTTGATTCTTGGATATTTGGTGAGCAACTAGACTTGTTTTTCACAGTGCAACAAGTGAGCAGAAGTTTAGGGACGAATAACACCCAAAATATGGACCCAAAATTGCCGCAAAAGTAATAAAAACTTGCCTCACTTAATGTACAAGCATTTCTATATGAAAGAAGGATGGAGATGTTTGTGTGGAAAGAAAAGACAACAGGATTTTAAAACCTTTTTTAATTATTAAAATTTGTTTTTTTATAATTTATCAATGAAAATTTTAGGGTTGCACTGAAAAATTAGGGTCAGTCTGGAAACCGGAACTATTTTTTTACCTCAACTATCATGACTTTTACTATAAATTTCAACTTGTAGGGTTTCAATGTGTTTCTGTCGAAATGTATAGTAGGTACACGTAACTAGGTATCATGCGATAAGATCACACCTTTTCATTTTGAAAAGTTGGCATCTCTGCACCAGTGTTACACACCCTTTTCCCCAGTAGTGTCCTTCCTCCTAGAAGTTGAGTGTGACAAAAGTAACTCAGGCTGTTTTAATACCAAAGTGACTGGTTTTCCTTGAAATGACAGAGCTTTCGTTTGACTTTTTTTCATAAAAAAACCTGAATAGTGCTAATTTTTTGGCATCTTTCTGTAGAGTGATGGGGACAGGAGAAAATGTGAAATGTTTCCGTAAATTTCCACTGGAATATATACTTTTTCATAAACGTGTAGCTCGTACCTTTAGGTTGTGAAATGCATGCGTTTCTCCCTCTGCACAACTTCCATTTGTTTCCATCCAAGACGAATGAGTGCCTCACGAACTAATGCAGGTTTGCCAACATGTCACCCACTTTCCCCGATGTGGCTTTTATTCCGTATGTGGCCGCTGTCTATTTACATTGTAGTTATTGCGAGACTGTGAGAGTGCATGGTTTTAAAGCAGGCTTCCGTTATTTTTTTTTTGCCACAGGTACCCGTGCAGCCAGTCATCTAACCAGTCATTAACCACATCTTCTTTTGTAGATGGATGTTCACTTCGTTTGTTGGGATAGTGTTCTTGCATGCACCTGAACCGCTAACAGTTTGATTGATGCACCGGCAGCACCTGCTAGTTACACGTACATTGTTTGAGTGGCGCCATTAACCACCTTATTCTCTTTCAGCTTGGCCAATTTCTATTTTTCTTGTGACTTTTGAACATGACTATTTCAGCTCACACAGCTAAAGATGGACTTCTGATGTGGTGCAAGCGCAAGACTGCTCCATATCGCAATGTCAACGTCGCAAACTTCCACACTAGGTAACCAAGAAGGGGGAAAGCATGTACCCGGCCGTGTGACTTCTCGTATTCCTGGGTTGATCATTTAATCTGTTCCTGTTGTCAGTTTGTGTTTCTTTTCTGGACAGTTTGTACAGTGTTGGTGTGCCAACTGACGATATGTGTAATTGCATCTGTAGGATTCGGCGTGGGAGTAACACACTTACCATCCAGTTTGGCCGCATTTTTTCTACTTTTTTCTGTTAATCGATTGTATTGTTAGAAACTTACATGCATGACACTAACTCACGCACGAAAGGAATTTTCTCCCTGGTCCTTCGCATTGTGCATTTGATATATACAGAAATGACCGCTAAAGAAGGTCTCTTGCTGTGGTGTCAGCGCAAGACACAACCCTACAAGAATGTGAAGGTAGCCAACTTTGACACAAGGTAACTTGTCTGCCGCAGTGACCGGCAGTCTAGCACTAGTTGAGTAGGCTTGGATTGACCTTGGTGTGGTGAGATATACCAAGGGGTGGCACCAGCTTGGTTCTGTAGAGGTCTTTGGTAATGACATTATGCATATGTATGATGGTGGCAGTTACGCGCATTACCCTTACATATGTTACAACAGGTGTGAAGGTACTCATTTGGCAGGCCATCAACTGTTGTCTGTCCAACAGCTACAGCTTGTGTAGCTTTTTGACGATCCAAGCATTTACTGACGTCACGTCAAAGTTCCAAGTACCAAAGACCTGTACGGTCTGAACCAAGACTGTGCATGGGTTGGTAGTTCGTTGCATGTAATCTCTTGGCATGTGCTGTGGTTTGTTATCTTCTCCGACACAGAGACCTCAGCCAAGGAAGGTTTACTTTTGTGGTGTCAGAGGAAGACGGCCCCTTACAACAATGTTCGAGTCCAAAACTTCCATACGAGGTGATATCACATGGTACTTTGTGTCGTACACTGTCCTCGTAACCCCATTCCATTCCTTCTAACTTCCTTGTCAAAAGACTGTCTTAAAATGACATTTGGGCCGCCAAAGTTTTGCTAGTGTTGAAAATAAGGAAATAAAAGGGTACTTGGTGTAAGATCATTAGTTTCTGCCAGTTATTTGAAGAAGTACAATAAGAGCTGTTCCTCAGTGCCATTTCCTTTCATTTTATAGATTCTTTATCTTGTAAAAGCTTACTCACTTTACAGCTCTCAAAACACTTAAATGATGGCTTGTTTGCACTGCCATGTCAATCGTATTTAAAAGACCAAAGGCGTTTCACATTGCCGTGTAGTCTTCGAACTTCTGTAAGCTCTACCGTGGTCACAGTACTCTACTGAAACAAGCAAGCCAACAACTCTCATGTTCTTAAATTTGCGGCTGAGCCGAGGTCTTTTTTAGAACTTCTGGTAGTTTAAAAAATCACGCAGGCTACACAAACAGTTTTATTCTGCAGTATTAATACTGTTAACAATTGTTCAAAGGAATAATTAAAAGTAGCCATTTGTCTTCAAAGGGGGGGGTTACGGTACCTAATGACCAAAACGGAAAATGCTTTCAAACTCAGGACAGTCAAAAGATTTTGGGGAGATGTTTAAATTTTAAAAGTTAAAAAATAAATACATACACATGTACTGTCTCTCTTTGATAACTACTTTAGTTCACCTGTTTGTGCATATGTATTTGAAGCATATATTTGAAGCAATCAAGGTGTTTAAAGTTTGACCCAGTGTCAGTTTTGAAGACAGTCTTTCTGTTCACCCTGGCTGATTCATTGTAATGGCTTCCCTGGATTTACCAAGTTCACATTAACTCACTTGCTCAACTGCAAAACAGCACCTCATTGAACCGTCTCTGTAACTGGTACACGTACACTCTTTTCACCTGCAGTTGATGCATTACCATGGTAGCTAAGAAACAGACCCCCACACACAATCATACAGTTTCAAAAAAATGACTGGCACGCACAGGAAGAATATGAATTGAATGACTGCATCAGAGCTTTTTCCGAAAAACCAGTGACACGTTCCATCTCTTCAAGTCCCAAATTGGTGTGGAATCATTTCAGTATGTGTGCGCTTTAATGTAACTTGTTGCTGAGCTGTAGTCTAATGGAACTTTCCATCTGATGGAGTTTGAATGACAGAGTTGGAATCAGTCACTCACAAGTCAATCTGAAGTCGGTTCACAAATTGGGTCAGAACTGAAGAGATGTGCAGTTACCAAGGAATCCCTTTGTCAAAGTTCATTTACATGTCAATACAGGGTAGCTTGTGAGTTGACTTTGGACTGCGTGACTTATTTCTGATTTCTAATGACTCTTGACTTGTTATTGACTCCATTGGAACTCTAGAATGACCTGGAAAGATTAAGTCCATACAGAAAGATACATTAGACTGATACATACATGTACTATATGCACATGTAAATGACTACATATACTATACATGTAGGCACCTGTACAAAGACATGTACGTGTACCGTACATGCTTCTTCAGTGACAGCTTTCTTCACATGTTTGCAGTCTTTGCTCAGTACTACATGTATATGTGCACTGCACATGTACAACGTATGTGCACATAGACTGAGTACATGTTCACGTGTATTAATAATGTTTAATACGTACATCTACATGATAATGGGAGTGCTGAAACAATTCCCTTCAACATTAACCTCATTCTCAGCTTGACACAGTACACCCAATAACCAACTGTCGCACAAAAACATCCATATTAATACCTTCCTCTAAATGTGGCACGTTATGTAAGCATATAAAGTCCAATGTTGCTTTTCCTTTTCATATTTCATTACTATCATAGTACAGTTATGCTACCATACCTTCCTCTCATCTCTGTTAATCAATCACAGCTTTTGACCTTATCAGCACTTCGGTATCTCACTGTCAAAACACAGATCCATTATTAAAGGTGTGATATTCATCCAACACCGGTGCATTGTACTGCTACCGTACAAGTGAATGTTTTTCAGCGTACATATACAGGCAGTTCCACGAACATGATCTCTGTTAAAACTAAATTTTTGTCTCAATTCCAAAATTAACAGCTGGCGTATTCGTAAAATCCAAGTCTTTTTCATTTACAGTACATGTACATGTAGGCAGTTGGTGCACGTACATATGCAAATATACATGTACATGTACATTTTTCTAAATGTCCTATTTTGAGCGCTGTTACTTTAAGGTTAAGGTAAACCCATTTGACCTGAACATCTCTGAAGACCAGATGCAGTTGCACGAGCCATCTGTCTGTCTGTGTGCGCGCGTGGAGAGCCATGTTTTTAATTTAATATTCCATGAATAGGCAGTACCCTCATGCCTCATGTGAGAGTATGGCCAGTGTAGGAGGATAGCTGAGCTTCTGGTAGCGGCATACACATTACAGATGGGAATACCGACCTCTCCTGCGTTCTCGTCACGCTGCACGGCCATGAAAGCCAATGAGGCTGCGTCCGTCCCACAAGAATGCAGTACATGCGGGGAATGGCAGACTTTGAAGACAAAATATTTCCAATTCTTGAGGGGACCCTGAGGTCCCCTCAATCTGACAAAGACATTATGCAGGAAATATTGACAAGTTCACGCAAAACGCACCCTGGAGTACAACAATACTAGAAAAATTGTTGCCAAAAAAAAATTATCATTCACAGTCATTTTTCAACTCATTACTCGTACTTTAAAATGTGAGGAACTAAAAATAGTGTTGGCCACAGGCATGCATCATCTGGATTGCATGTGCAGTACACTTCAGAGACGTTTGGAATTTTGATGTAGTTTCTCTTCTGGTTTGTTCAATCCGTATGGGGGAGTCAATTCTGGCTGTGAATATATCGTATTTCATCTTGCATTTTCCAACTGGTGATAATTCAGACTTTTTGCCCTCCTGGAAAGCCTATTTTCTTGGCTGTGAAATCTTACTAAATGCGCACGTAAATTCTGTACATACATGTATTTTCTGGTAAAAAGAAGCTTATTTGATGAGCAGTACCCTTGGGAAAACTGTTCTACTTATGTGAAGGTGTTCATACATGTATATAGAAGAAATATAATATACAATTTAAAAACTACAAAATAATAACATTTGATTGCACATTAAATCAACCATTCTAATGTAAACTCAGGGGAGCCATTGTGCCTAAAGTCTTCCACCCAATGTGGCCCACTGCTGTATTCCATGGTGTACTTGTGGAAGTGTTTAACTAGTGAGGAATGCACCACCCTGTACAATGTACATGTACCTTTATGTCACCTCACCCCAACCCTGCACCAACCCCTGTTGACCCCACACAACCCTGCCACCCAGTCTGGTGCATTGTTTTCCTACTGTGGGCCAGGACCTTTGGAACTGTATCTTGCACAATCCGTTCATTGCTGCACTCTTTCCAAACCATGTGTGAGCTTCACTTCTCTTTCTGTGGGCACTTCAGTGGAGATGTTAATCACCATAACCGCTCAAAAAAATACAGGAAGTTTTATGGGTTATTATGTGACAGATCAAGCTCTGGAAATCTAATTTTTCCCGATTGAAGAAGTGGACTGTGGAAGTACATGTATTTACAAAAAATTCTTGCTTTTTTCCTTTCACACAAATACGAGTATACACACCATAGATTTGATTGCATATGATGTGCATGATATTCCTTTTGCCTGAGGCAGAAATAGATTGGGCACAACTTGTCAGCATGTGAGAGAAAAGTGAACGGAAAGCGTAACTAAGGGGTCTGTTTTGGGAAGAAATATTTGAGAAACTGCTCTGCGTTGTACTTCTGTCTGGTTTTTCCAACATGAATGGAACCAAATCTTTCTATTTACGGCAGCTCTTTGCCTGAGCCTTAACACACAAGCTCATGTACTTGTAATTTCTCATGACTGTTTTCTCCCTTGGCAAGCTGTCCTAATAAGGTAAAGTTTCTGCATGGCTAACTTATCTGATGTTTGGATTTGGTTTCATGCAGCAGCATTATGAAACTACATGTATCATATTTTGTGCTAGTGATCTTTGTTTGGTAAAACAATACCAAATGCCAAGGTCAATGGGAAACGGAGGATTTGGGGAGTGTCTTGAAACTTTGGAATGTTCCCAAGGCCCAGTTATTTTCACAAGGCAATCAGAGTTACTCCAAGTTCCTTGCAGGAACAAGAGCAAGAGTTTTCCGATAACCCCTTACCATAACGTTAGACCATTGTGAGAGAATCGTGGATCATACATGTACGTACTTCCTCAATTGGAAATACCGGTGGCAACACAAAACTAACTCATTTTACTAACATAAATTTCCAACGCTTTTACCAGTCGTCATTTCACCAATCCTTTCTTATGTAATTTACATTAAGGTGTTGTTTTCAGTTTCATTGATGTACATTGTAACTTGGCATGCAAAATTGGTCAAGTAAAAATAGCAAGGGGTCAGTTTAATACATGTACATGTACATATAGGTAGCCATCCTACATGTACATGTATGCACATGTGCTGATGTGTCTGGAACCTGCACAGTTAAGAATTCAAAGTATTTTTCACACAGTTAAATTCACCGCTACTTGGGTTGGCATTGGAGTTTCAAGTTCTTAACTTTTATTCCGGCTCACGTCATACATTCAATTTAAAATTGCATCAGTCGGGACATTCTCCCTACGTGTGTAATTTACCTATGCGGTTTAATATTATCTTGGAAATAGAAAGTTTCTTCATTGTACATGAGGTATGCCACACCCATTTCATCTTGTGAAGCGGTACTGTCGAATGCCCCTTAAGCTGCTCCAGTTCAGACTCATACTTCCTGTCTGGTGCAGAAGAGAAAACTCTTACCTTAATATACATGTACATGTAGATTACTTAGGACTGTAGGAATTGATGTAATTGGCATGGCAAACAAATGAAATTGCATTAAGATTGTGAGTAAGTGAGTGATTAGTTGGAAATGCATAAGTGATGCCATTTTGGGCTGAACTGGTGATTTAAAAGTGAGCTTCGTAAACATGCTTTTTGGCAAAAAGGATAATGAAAAAATTGGATTGAAGAGCCTCAATATCAGCATGAGCATGGCTTGGTTCGTGTCAACGCATTGAGGGTGACGATTTGACAGTGAGTTTGGAATGGTTTTGAATGTTTCGTGCTAAGTGTCTGAGGTTTTGTCTCGACTTCTCAGCTGGAAAGACGGCCTGGCTTTCTGTGCCCTCATCCACAGACATCGCCCAGAACTGATTGATTACAACAGTCTCTCAAAGGTATTGTTTGAATAAAGCAGTAGACGTTATGAAATCTTGTAAAATCTCATAATCAAATAATGTTCAACAGAGGAGGAAGACAAGGCCAGTCTCAATATTTTACAGTATTGGTACATTTCTGTTACGACCCTAAAACTTCATGTTATAAACACATTCACACGTAGGTTCAGGTCTGATTCACTTTGTTATTAGAAAGTGCTTCACTGAAACCAGGAAATCAACTGAAAGCTGCAGGCTCGTTCTGCAGTTTGATATCAAAATTGAAAGGGAAAGAAGGATCCAATGAGTTTATACAAAGTGAAATGAAAGACTTGAAGTCTATCAGTGGGTACACTTTCCTTGGCTCAGTTCCTGAGGTGAGCTGCTGCATGTAGCTGTCAGCCACGTAAAACTGCAAAAGGTGACAGTTTCTAACAAACTTTGTCCGTTGAATCTCTGTATGTAGGATGACCCCAGGAAGAATTTGGAGCTTGCCTTCGAAGTGGCAGAGAAGTACCTGGACATTCCCAAGATGTTGGATGCTGATCGTAGGTTTCGTAGTCCTCCATGTCTGTTGAATCTTGAAAGAAGGACCACGTGTCTGTTGATTCTTTAGAGAGTGACCACTTTTAGATTTAATTTTGTTTGATTTAATTCTTTTGAGGAAGCTTGTGTGACTACATATGTCATGTACCTGGGGGAAAAAAGGGATTTTTAGAATTGTGTCATTGGCATCGTGGCTGTCCAGGTAATGGTCAGTGTTGTGGTCAAGACAATCACATGACCATACACAGTCGCAAGTAACGGTGAACGGTGTAACAAGAATGCTTCCATTGCGGTTCATTTGAATAGATTGTGACTTGAGTTCTGACCAGTGTTCTTGTGTCCGTCTTGTGACAATCCTGTCGAGCCTTGTGTTGGTCCTGAGGGGTCTCACCTGCACCTTAATGTTGGTCACTTTGTGCAGATATCGTGGAGAGTGTCAAGCCTGATGAGCGCTCCATCATGACCTATGTCTCCTGCTACTACCATGCGTTTGCTGGAGCTCAGCAGGTATGTTCCTCTGGCTTGACTCCGAGCACTCTTGAAAACTTTATGGATGACTTTGAGCCTGCATTCACACTTTTTAAAGCAAGAAAACACATGAATTCTCCCAGGTCAATAAGGAATGATTAGTTTTTAGCTATCTGCGGGGGGCGGGACTTAAATGCCAACAGAATATCAGATCTCTTTTAATGTTTTGCTGACTTCTATCAAAACAAATCTCTTTGTGAACCAACGGTGTATTGAACAGTCAAAGTAAACAGTTTGATCAGATCATTTACTGATTCTGCAAATTTGTAAAAAAAAATTATTTCAAAGAGTTCCTCATTCAGAGAAAGGTCATTAAGTTTAGAAATCAAATGAGTAGCCCCAGAGCTGTTGCCATGTACATAAATACAGGTTTCATTGCTAACTGAAGTGTACTGGGATGTTTATATTGGTCTGTTTCCAAATACATGACTGAGAATGGACTAGATATACACGCAAATGTGGTTGCACATGGACCTTTATAATGTTTGATGCTTTTCCTCAAGTTATCTCAATAAAGGTGTCAAAATGAAGCTCCAAAAAAATCACACCTACCACAAACAGCTGAATTTTGGTCATGCTCGTATGTTAATTTCGTTGCCTTGATGTTTGATTGAATTATACAGGCAGAGAATGCAGCCAACCGTTTGTGCAGAGTACTGAGATTGAACCAAGACAATGAGCGACTAATGGATGAATATGATCGACTTGCTAGTGATGTAAGTAAAGACTTTTCAGTTGGGCTATACACACTGCTAATGTCTTGAGGGTAAGACATTAGGGTAAGATTGGAGGAATGGGGAGTGCCACAGGAGACACTTTGAAAATTGGCTTGGAACTAACCACTTCGCATCAGGTGACATGCGAACACACAGGGATTTCACAGAGGACATTTAACCCCTTCACGGGAGGACGCGTTAAGACACGCCATAAAAATTGAGATCCTCGGCCCACTTTTCAGCTATTATTTTCGGCCCACGCTCGAGCGAACACGGTGAAAGAAGGCAAACCCTGGCTCTTGTGTATATGGTAATTGGTCTTTGTGTTTAGCCCAGAAATGAGAGGAACAAATTTGCATCATAATCACCAGCTTCACAATAGTCCCCACTTTGAAAAGAGGCAACAGGAATGTGGAACCTTGAGTAGAGCTGCATGCTACCGAACAATCAGCCTTTTCACCGTGTAATTCAAAGTGTGCAGAGCACGCTGGGCCACAAACCGAGAATTTGCAGTTTGGCAGGTGGCCTTCGTGGCCAAGCGAGGCTGGAATTCTTGGAGTCGGCTTTCGGAAAGAAATTCCCGTCGTCGAGAAGGGGTTAAACACATTTGGGTGAATTCTGTATGCAGTGCCAGGTGACATGTACTCCATCCCCACTCTCGAGGGATTCTGCTTGAGCTAGAATGCATACCAGAGGCACCAACAAGTCCATGGAGGTTGAGCGTGTGAGGGGTCCTGCAGCAACCTCAGTCACAACAGACCAAAATCACGCCATGACAGTGTCAGAATTTCAGACAGTAATGAAGTGGTAGAAATGTTGAACAAATCTTGAGCAAACGATTATCGAGCGTCCTTATTTGAAAAGTCCATCTTTGTAAAAGGACTGTGGTTGTGGTGCCTTGGCATTTTAGAAAACCTGTCCAAGAAGTGAGATTTGTCAGGATTTTTCCAAATTTCAGGATTTTTTTATGATGATTTTCCTGATTTGAGGATTTTTCAAGATCTAGAAATTCCCAGGTTTACCTTTATGGTGTTCTTACACATCAAAGTTGACATGGTTGATATAAATCATAAGAAATAGGCATTATATGGGATGCCTTTAAGCAAGCATAGACCCTATATTGCTTTAGGGCCATGACCAAACCCCTTGATCATTGTTTCATGGATATGCCATTATCCTCCAATCTAGTCCCCTGCCTGTCTGGAACAAGTACGTGAATGGACTGCTATGTTGGGCTGGTGGTTGAACTAAATCAGTTAAGAAAGTACAGGCAGTAAAATATTTTGCTAAATGTTTGTACTAGCCCGTTTTCATTTCATTCTTGGCGGGGTTATTTTCCCATCATCTTGGTATTTCAAGTGTGAGATTATGGTAAATACAAGATTTAATTGACCGTTGGATTAGGTACTCATGCCATCTGAGAGTTGGGCAAAGATGACCACGAGAACTCTGGTATGTACATGTAGGTATTTCACCCAAATACCTATGGAATTCTCCACAGTACACTGGTCACTGAAGTCTAAGATTCTTCCACTTTGGACCGGCATGTAATGCTTTTCAGGAGAAAAACAATTTGCTACTCAATTATTAAAGTGCGTTTGGTGTTTTTATTATGGCCGTCAACTTAGAATTTGTTCCATAATTTTTGTTGCAGTTGCTGGATTGGATAAAGCGTAAGCGTCCATGGCTGGAAGACAGAACTCTGGCAGAAAACAGTCTGCCTGCTGTTCAGGTATTTGCATTTCCATCATTTCCATCATTTGATCAGGAGGCAAATCAAGCGTCATTTTCAGAGTGTTCACGGACACATATTCTGCAGTTCACTTCCTTTGTTTTATTGGAAGATGTAAACAGTCTGCATTTGTGGTTAACTGTGTAATTCTGGAGGTGTTAAATTACACTTCTAAGACCACTTAATCTGGGTAATTATTCAGTTTCCATTGACCCAATCACCACATCTGCCTACTTAAAATTTGCTTGTTAGTAGAGTATGTGTATATAAAGCAGATGTTCTGATCCAACAAAGGATAGGAGCCCCCAAAATGCCTTGTTACAGCCGAAATACAGGTGTTAGGTTCGCATATTGTCTTCATGGAAAAGTCAGAATCGGGCTGTGATGAAATAACAATTAATCTCTACTTGAGGTCAAGTGCTTAAGTTTCGGGGAGAAGTCAGAGTTTCTTAACTTCTGACTCTCTGGTGCTGCTAGGACAAACTGGATGAGTTCCGCAACTACCGCGGCAAAGAGAAGCCCCCCAAGACGGAAGAGAAGGGGCAGCTGGAGTCGAACTACAACACTCTGCAGACCAAGCTTCGTCTCAGCAATAGACCGGCCTACATCCCACAGGAAGGCAAATTGGTCTCGGTAGGTGACACATTAATCAAGTCCTGGGCCCACTGCCGTGACTGTTCTCGTATTTAGTTCTAGCGTAGTGCACCGTACATATATGTATATCATGTGTGGCATATGTACTGATACGCGGCATTTACACACACAAAATCCCGATAATGAAAAGAGTCCTGTCCGTTTGCTCTGTTCACATCCGAAAATCTCTTGGGGAAACTTTATTGCACCCTTACATTCATTGTTCTGCGATGATTGGTTCGTTCATGTGTACCACTGTGCGTATCACCCTTCCACAGTACACAAGAGCACTCCTGAATATTGTCTAGTGCTTGCAGTGCATGCATGTGCTCATGCTTTGCATGTGAGCAGTGTTTTTTACATGTACACATGTCCATATTGTACTTTTTATTAACCTTGGACCTGTGGAAAATCCCCCTCCGGTTATTGCAGTGGTCAAAGGTTAATAAAAGGTATTGTTACTTTGTATAGACATGTAATATTTCTAGATGTTATCAAAAACATTTTAATAGGGTCAAATGCTAAACAAAGGCCTGATCTGGCCTTAGGCAGTCAAATCACAGTGTGGCTGCCATCCATAACACTGGTGTAATTGCTTGGGAGTGTACACATAGCAAAAGAAATAAGTGAGTGAAAATAATTAGCTTTGAAACCTGGAAGAAAATGCCCAGTATTTAGTTTTCCTGTAGCCCATGTTCAACTACACCCTTCAAGGCATTTCTGAAATTGTGTGTTTGTTAATGGCTGGTCAGAGGGTGAGTCCTCGCAAAATTCCCTGGTTACTTATGCTGTAGAAATTCAGTTCACTTGGTGAAACAAAGCAATAAGCCACTTGCAAGTTAAGTTTGAATAAAATCTGGTATCCTGTGTTATCCGATTGCACAGAAACGTAACAATTTGAATTCTCACCTTAATTATTCCAGACTTCCAAAATATGTTGAGCCAGAGTTTGCAGGTGCTCTCCCTTCCCTTCAAAATAAATAAAAGAAATTTTGCTATTGTGCACCAGCAGAGTGATCAATTTGGAAACATACAGGAAGATTTCTTGCCTGCATGCTTTTGCAGTCAGGACTGATCTGATAGAATATTCAAGTATGCAGAGCTACTGACAAAAGATTTGCAAATGAGGTGGTCCCCTGCAAATCTTTCTCATGGCCATAGTTGAAAGTCTGTTTGAGCAACACAGTATTTTGTGTATTATACTTAAACACCGTATTGCTTTCTCAGTCCGCAAAAAAGGAACGTCCTGGTTGGTATCTCTGCTGTGTTTATTGTTTCTAACGAGGAACTGAAACAAGGAACTAGTAAAGAGCCACAATTTCCCAGCTGCCCAGTGTTGCCTTTATACTTTGATTTATTGTCATGGGATAGTGGTATCCTGGAGCGTATTGATACCCTGGATGACCCACAAAAATAAGCCTCAACCAGGCTTTGCTGGCAGCCAGCCCAAGGGCTGAGATAGTGGTGACATAGCAGTTGTCAGATTCAATGGTTAATCAGAATAGGTACTCGTAGTCAATGTTGTGACAAGGAACTTGTGTAGAGAGAATTACATGTACGTGTTACAAGTCTGGAATAGGAACAGCTTTACATGTACCGGTACATACAAACATCTGGGTACATCCTCCCCAAAAGTGCCCAAAGTCACTCCCTTGCTGTCCCTACTGAATGCCAAAATGGCATATCTGTTCAAGCTTTCAGTCTACTTAATTAGTTATTATAAGTGGCTTGGGGAAGTGATGATTAATGTACGCTACTCAAAACAAGCTAAGGACCACTTTTTATTTTGTGTATACTTTTTTTATGAGATACTTAAACTACTGAATATCTCCTGCATCATTGCACATCAAAGTTTTTTATTCCAATGAGAGCACCGTCTCAACAAATAAAAAATGAAAGAACTATGCCCCACTCATTCCTTGGGAAAAATTACAAGTTAAGAAAAAACGTGGTCCTGAACTTTTTTTGAGTACAGGAATTCTATCCATTGTGCATTGCAGGTACATATGAAACCCAACATTAATTCATTTTTTCACTGAAGTCAGTTTTGACAAACTCAACTTGAAATTATGAATGGTTAGAAGAAATAAACCTAAGTTAGATTTGATCCAGATATCTTGGTAAAGTAACATTCATACCTTGAAGTGTATCAAGGATTACTATTTTGAAAAAAAAGTAATTCATAAGTTGACAGATTTGCCTCTTAGAGGACAAGCAGGCCAATACTTACCTGAAATAATTTAGCATTTTTAAATGGAATTATGCAAATACTTAAATCTTCTTAACCAGTAGAGGCTTTACATATATGGACATCTATATACATGCATACTGTACCCGGCACATGTACTTTGGTATTTGACAGGACATCGCAAAAGCATGGAAAGGTTTGGAGCAGTCCGAACGTGGCTTTGAGGATTGGCTGCTGGCAGAGATGAGAAGGTAACCCCTCCCTGCTGTCCACCCCCCCTCCCCCAATCCACCAGAAGATAGCCATCACACGTCGTTATCTAGAGCAAGATAAATGTTGTGGAAACATTTTGACTGAAAACGTAGCGGTGTTTGTGAGTCTCTTATCACGATGAAGAATGCTTCAATTGGAAGTTTCCGCCTTGTTTTTGATATGTTCGTCATTCCTTGATCCCGAGACAAAAAAAACATGAGGTCTCATGATCACATTTTCCCGCAGACGACGCGCCATTCAAGCCAGTCTCTCTAGATGTGGTATAAAGACCTTTCTTTTGCTACATGGTACTTGTAGGTTTTGGCAAAGCACAGCTGGTCATCCGTACAACAGGCAAAATGATTGAGAAAGTAGTCAAAATCTCCCTTAGAATGGTAATAATATAAAGCACCACAAATATAGTACACTGTGGAATACCCGGTATCTAATGATGATTCCCTCTGTAAAAAAATGGAGCAAAATTGCAATTTGAGGCAAAAGCTGGTGCCAAACAAGGATGGAATTTTCTGCAAATACTGGTTGTCAATGTTTGTAAACAGAAGAAAGATCATCAGCATCAGAGCACCAGTAGGATTTTTAATAGAAATTCTGATGTTGATTTGTTGAATGTAAAAGTCGGTGCAAGTAGAATAAATATAAATATAATAAATGTAATCAAAGTCTCTGAATCTGTTATTTTCCCTTGGTTTTCCCCAGACTGGAACGGCTGGATCACTTGGCAAGGAAGTTCCGTCACAAGTGCGACATCCATGAGGCTTGGGCAGAAGGCAAGGAACCAGAGCTGGAGGATAGCGACTTCTCTGGAGTCAAGCTCAATGAAATCTACGTGAGTTGGCCGTTTGTTTTCCTAGTCAATGAAAAAAGGTTTTAGGCCTTCACTAGTGTACTATTGTCACCATATGATTTGCTGTGAAGAAGATCTTGAAAGCTTTTTCATTTCCTGATATCTTCACTGAAAGGCGGATAGAATTTCCCTTTTTTCTTTGTAATATGCTGAATCTCGTCTACTGAGCTTGAAGACAGCCCCTTTTTAAATGTATCATAGTCTTATGGACTTATGTAATATTTAAGAATGGGACAGCAGTTTAACCTTTCACATTGTCGCCGGCCTTTGGAAGCATATTTGTTGGCACTCGGAGTAAGGGCATTACTTCATATATCTTCGTCAGCTTCCTCTTGGAATTGATTCAGTTAATTGGGAGAAGTACAAGCACGAAGCTTGCCTTGATTTAGTTCCAAAAATCTGCAAATTAGGGATTTAGCTATTCAGTACGTTATTAGAAATTCAAAAAGCAGGCAGTGGTCATTACAGTTTACATGTTTCATTGAGTAGGCCGATATTTGTATGTCTGTTGTGGTTGCTTTGCTTGTTTAATTTTTTTTTCCTGATTGCTACGATTGATTCGACAGGCTCTGAAGAAGAAACATGAGGCTTTCGAGAGCGACCTGGCTGCCCACCAAGATCGCGTGGAACAGATCGCAGCGATCGCTCAAGAAATGAAGTAAGAGCTCCCACCCACCGTCACTATCAATCTCATGCATTAAGGAATAATGCAGGCAAGCCAAGCCTCAACAGCTACATGTTGGTTTCTTTGGCTGCATCCAGTCACTGTTTGGTGTTGCTAATGATGAAGGCAAACATAGTGTTGCAGAGGCAATGTGTATTAAATTAATGGATGTATAAATAACAAAATTCATGTACAGAAGACAGGCAATCTGTTTTCCAGCCAGTACACTGCCATACTTACAGTTTATCCTGCATTATTTGTGTGTTTGGTTTGGATTCAGGGAATGCCTTTCATTCATTAACCCTCACTCTTTGGGTCAATCAGTCAACTGCACAAAGATGCACAGCTGTGTCATATTGTGCACTGCACCAAGAGTCCCTCATAGGAATATCAGATTGCACTTTTGTGCTGTCCAACAACTGTGCTTCACTGTTTCATGTGCATCATTGTGCAGTAAACCAACTGCAGTGAAGAGGACTGCACCAAAGAGCCTGTGTCAGTTTGTGCCGGCAACCAACTGTATGCTCACTGAACCATGTAGAAAACACATGCACAAGAGTGACTGTTTGCATTCATGCACATCTGTGCTGTTAAACCATAGGAGGGTTAAAGGGACAATTTTTTTTTCTAAGGAAAGTCAGGACATACCTGTGGGTACAGAATTTGTCCCCATGATGTTTTGGGTCCCCATAACGTCTGTATTCCAACACGTCTAGTCCCCTGACCCAGTAAACAGGTGCATGTCTTCATTCTTCTCTTTGTTCTCCCCAGTCTCCTGGAGTACCATGACATAGTACCCATCAACTCGCGGTGCCAGGCTATCTGCGATCAGTGGGACCGACTGGGTAACCTTACCTCGACACGCAGACAAACTTTGGAAGTAAGGTCACATCTCAATTACTAGGCCCTGGCTGGAAATTATGCACACGTGTATGGGAATTACATGGAAGCCACCTGATTAGCGGTTACTGTAGCCAAACGTTATTTTCCGCTGAAGTCAAAGTTTACGTTACATCGGAATCGGAGTTTCATGTAGGTCTACAATCCTGGACAAATATTGTTAGGCCCCCCCACTCCTAGACCCCCTTTCAGTGTTGGGTCTCGCTGCACGGTCTGCACTCCAGCTCGACATGACAACATTGACTGAAGTATTGGGGAGCCTGGGAGCATAAGGTTATTGCCAAGTGACCCAACAATGTTGACCAGGATTGTAGGTCTTTGCTCCGTTGGAACTATGCAGGAAGACAATAGCAGTAGACACAGTCGTAACTCAGGAGACTCATTTTGAACACCGCCTTATTCTGGGGATCTTTGAGGAATGACACATTACAAAGCCAAGTTTACAGTTAGTAGCCACATGTACATATATAAAAAGTCTCTCAAATCTGGAGAAATATTTTGTAGAGATCTGAAGAGGTCCTCTAGTCCTTGAAATGCCCTAAAAAGAAGTGGAAGTTAATCTTGTGTGTGTTTGAGAAATGGAGACAAAATCATGGCAAAATGTGTACTATATCTGTGTAAAAATCCCCCGGTAAAGCTTTCAATTTCTTGGTGGGTCTGACCTACACATCAGTGAAGCAAAACAAAACTCAAAAATTTCCAGTTGAAGTACATTTCTTGTTTCACAGTAACACTAAGAATACCATGAAACACTTCAAACAATTTATTGTTCCTTTTTTTCTCCCTATGACTTTGTGAAAAATTTAATGTTTAGTGACCTCTGAGATTCATAGCTCAGTAATGAATGTTGCTGCAGTTGAATCGAGGAGTACAAACATTAATCTCTCTCCCATTTTCTCCAGAAAATCCAAGACCTGTTGCAGAGAGTCGACAGCCTGTTCTTAGACTTTGCCAAGAAAGCTGCACCGTTCAACAACTGGATGGAGGGAGCCAGCGAGGACCTGGTTGACGTCTTCAGTGTGCACACTGTTGACGAGATCAGAGTAAGTCAGTTTGGTTTTCGGCAGAAGGGTCTTCAACCGTCATTTTGCTGTAACAGTCATAGACCGTCAAAAATTCCTTCCACTTGATTTTCTACAGTTCACACACACAGAGTTGTCATTTGACTAATTTGACTGATAGAATAAATTTCTCAAGAATGCATCTTTTGCATAGGAGAGTTAAGCTGGCTCAAGGATTCAACTGGTGTGAAATGACAAAAATATTACCAGTTGGTTGATTTACATGCTGGTGCTTTACACGTGGGATCCATCTTCTAACCAATGCAAGCGTTTAGGCTGCCGTCAAATCCTTCACAAACTCATCAGTTTCTCATCCAGTCTTGAGCCAAGTCGCAAGCTGTTCAAGCGAACAGTGACTAGAGGATCGCTTTACATTGGACTGTACAGCAGTCCTGCCATATATGAACCTATTGATTGCTGACGTATTCAGTGTGTATATGCTACCTGCTCCTGAACCACGGCACTGACGGCTTCCAATTCTGGTTTTTGAGTATTCCATAGACTGTTCTCTCTTTTGGACCACTGTTTGGATGTTTTTTGTAACAGAGGAGTACATTCTGTAGAATTTTCTACCTCTCAGAGAGGCTGCTTGATTTGCCGAGGAAAACAAACTCCATAGGTGCTGAAAATATTTGAATGACAACAGCATCACTTCATTTGCGAGTACATACCGTTTCCATTAGAATGAGAACACGTTATTCAGTGGCATGTGACCAAGGACCTAGCAACAGATGTCAGGAATTTAGTCAGGCGTTTAAAGATGGTTGAAAGGATTGTGTGCACATAAAGCCGTGGTTGCAGACTTTTCTAGTGCCGCTTGTTGGCCCAACGAGTTAATAATGGAAATCCCGCCCAGCTAGATATAGAGTACCGAGTGACTACATCATGCGCACAGTTATGCATAAAAGACATTAGAGCGAGAACCACCGCATGAACCAACATGTAGGTACTCCATTCGTTTGCACGGCATTTTTTACTGGTTCTAAATGACGTCACACTTTGATACTCTATTGCGGTATTCTCTTGACTTTGTTCAAGCTTGAAGGCCAATATGGTAACATGGATTGATGTGTTTTCCACCCTGACAGGGTCTGATCCAACCCCACGAAGAGTTCAAGGCCACCCTCAACGACGCCCAGGCTGCCTTTGATGAACTCGTAGAGATTGGCAACAAGATCAAGAACTTGTTTGCTGAACACGACCTGAACATGGACAAGTCAAACCCTTACACGACGCTCACTGTACAGGTATGTGGACCTACATGTACCAATTACCAAAGATATTCGTTTGAATGAACATTTTAATTTTAATCTTCCTAAAGGTCAATACTGTGTTTGTACATCATTTCCAAGAAATGCCAAACTTTCCAAATCTGTTGACACAAAGCTGGTGAATTATAGATGTAAACGATTTCAGTTTGTCTACCCTTATCCTACTTCATTGAATGAATTGCGCATTCTTCATCAATGTATGATTGAGGAGTTATTCCTTGACGAATTTACCCAGAAATAACTTCTTGCTTGATGAATTTATTCAGGATATTGTCTCCAAGTGGCAAGAAGTACTAAAACTAGTTCCAGAAAGAGACCAGGCCCTCCAAACTGAGCTGCTGAAGCAAGAATGTATCCTTGCATTATGAAAAACAAGTTCTTCCACTCGCATCTGATGTGCCGTCTCAACGTGAAACATGGATTTGCACAAATCTGATGAAAATTATAGGTATTGTGGAGAAACAAAATTGTACGTTTCAGAAGGCATGCAAACATTTGTTTAAAAGCACTGACTCTGACGTAATAATTTTTCCAAAGATTTCATAGTTGCAAACAGCAGTAGGTGACCTTACATGTATTTCTAGGTTGAAATTGAGGCTAACTTAGGAGAAACAGCTGGTAAAAGGGAGAAAAGTGAGTAATTTTTCCTGAGTGTTGTCGCAAACAGCCAACGAGCGTCTGCGCTACCAGTTTGCCAAGAAGGCCAACGTGGTAGGGCCTTGGATCGAAGGGCAGACAATGAAGGTTAACAACTTGCATATGGAGCACGGTGTCCTGGAAGAAAGCTTAGCAAGCCTCAAGAGGATTGAAAAGGATGTAAGTCATGAGATAGCCACATACATGTATAATGCAATGAATTGTCTGACTGACAGTTGCATCCTGGGACAGCAAAAGAATCTCATTGGTAGTATGAGTCGATTAATGCACGTTACTTTCCATCTGGAATTGGGAATTATTTTGACAAGAGCTGTAGGGAACCAGTGTAAACATACTGCATGTCGCATGGGATTTATTTTATTTTCCCAATGACTCAAGAAAACTTGACTCCACTGTGCAATTAAACAAACCCAGATGACACATGGCAGGAGAGAAACATTCATTAAACAAATGCAGAGATTTCAGCATTATCCATATGAAGTTTAGCAAGTTAGCCAGTTTTAAGTGCGAGTGCTGTCCAAAAATCCACACATTTGTGAAGTAGGATGACATGCATGAGAATGAGCCAGGTTTGTCAGTGACCAGAAATCACAGTTCTGAACTACTGCTTTACCAACTTCGTTATATTCAGAACAGCTAGGCTGCACTGTACAAAAGTTGGCATCCCCGACACAAAAACAATGTTTTATATCAAGCATGCTAGGTAGCAGTAGATTAAATTCAATTGATTTAAATTTGGCATGCAACCAATATTGGCGGCATACCCAGTTGTCACTCGCCGTGTAGTTATTCACAGTGTTGTACTGCTAAATGGATGCTTCTACACAAAGCTGGATTAAGTTTAGTTCTCGCACCCGGCGCTTCAGTGTATCTCCAATCAGACAACTTTGTTTCAAGCAAGGGTCTTTAATGAAATTTGCTTGTGTGTGCTGTAATTTTTACAGGATGTAAACTCTCTTTCTTTTCTTTATTCTGCTCAGGTCGTTGATTACAAGTGTCACATGGATGAACTGGAGATGTTTAACCAATCTGTACAAGAAGCTATGATCTTTGAAAATGAGCACACCAAATATACCATGGAGGTGAGGCTCATGGCTTATGTGTTGTTTATTGTTCAGCCGATGGTTATATTTTTCTCTGAAACTGTTACAGAGCACGTGAGAGACTGAGAACCAAAGAAATACATGTACAGCCCCGCGAATAGTAAACCTCGCCCAATACCTGGGATCCAGTGGATACCAGTTTATAACCCCGGTACTATCGGTGCATTTGCAACGCACCAACTAATATTAATCCACGTAAGTAAAAACTCTGCCGTTAGGAGAGGTCATAAAATCCTGGCTGGCGTTTTCCGAATCTATTAAAATGATGATCTCTTGCAGCTGGTCTTTCGCGGTGAGGCGACGGGTTGTAAATCTTGGCAGCTGTCCTTTTTTCTTCCGGTCCATGCCGTGATCAGCATAGAATGCACTGTGGCAGGCGAAAAAATACCGACAATTGACCGGTTCCATACCAAACCGCTTTGACTTATCCAGTATATGTTGGTTTATGAATATTCATATGTTATCCAGCAAGCTGGCTAGTTCTGAAAGTTTGTAATGTGATCCCCTCATTTTGTTTTTTGTGAAACCAGACAATTCGCGTTGGCTACGAGCAGCTGATGACTACAGTCAGGCGACTGATTAACGAGCTGGAGAACCAGATTTTGACCAGGGATTCCAAGGGTATCACGGAGGAGCAGTTTTTGGAGTACAGACAGTCCTTCAACCACTTTGACAAGGTGGGGGGGGGGTAATTTGTCAGAGATAAAAGACTTGTCAAGTTCTTTGAAAACCAAAAAAGGTTCACCCTCTTCAAATCAACCTCTGCCGCACCCTGCTGTGATGTTCCATTGTTATCTAGTCTGTTTTGCACGGTTTCTGATTGATTGGTCAGTTATCCGAGTACGGAGAGTCCTCTGTATATTTAATTTTGAAAGGCAGAAAAAAGTGTCCTGGTGTGGCTGCCACACAAAGTCAGTAGTGTTCACCATTGAATATCGGCAAAGGCAAGCTTTGAGCCAAACAAGAGCAGATGTGGCAAAGTAAGATGATGTTCGCTGGGTCCACCATGGTATTTGGAACTTGACAGGAGGAACCAGAAGTAGATTGCAAGTCAGCACGCTGTTCACAAAGTTGTTCTCGTAACAAAGTAGATGGGGGATATGAACATTCATGTTGGGTTCAGGGGGACACATCAATTGTTGTTACCTCTTCAAAATACCTAGTGGTCATAGAATTCTAGTGTGCAATTCAGATGATATGAGAATTGATTCTTACCAGCGGTGTCCTTTAAAAAACGACGGATATGTGCATGTATTGGTGTGAATGAAGCCATTCCGGTATTCTCCAGGTCTCAGACAAGCTGATTTCTTCATATACACTTGAATTGCATACCATTAAAACTTGGAAAATATTGAAAACTCATGCTGTTTGGAATTTCTTCCTTTTTTTTCTTAATTCTGTGTTGCATTTCTGGTTCTTTAATCCTCTAAAGAGCTTTGTAGCCTATTTCCCATATGAATTCAAATTTTCCCACAGAATCACTCTGGCAAGCTGGACCCCATTGAGTTCAAGTCGTGCCTGGTGTCACTCGGCATGGCAACACCTGACGACAAGTCTGGCCGAAATCCAGAGTTTGATCGCATCATGGAGAGCGTTGACCCCAATCACGACGGCTATGTCACGTTTGAAGCCTTCCTGGATTACATGTCACGTGAGGCCACCGACACAGACACGTCAGAGCAAGTCAAAGGCTCCTTCAAAGTCCTTGCTGGCAACAAGGTAGGCTCTATTAAGAAAAGTTTGGTTTCGGCAATATTGCCTCAACTCTGAAGAGTTTGCTACACGTACATCTCTGGTCGAGTTCGGGCGGCCAGTTCTTGACACGGGTTTCTTGTTCTCGCGCTTGAGTGTCGGGAACACGACTCAAGAACACTGTTCTCGGATTAGGATCACACATCACCTCCTTGTCAGTGTTTTTTACAGGAACACACAGAAAACCTCGTGAGATTTTGATTTTTGCAAAAAGTAGAGAGATAGCTTCCAAAGCCATAGACAATGGGAACTTTGCAAATTAACATAAATTATTTTCCGTCACACAAATGAATGTTCCTGTTTACATAGAAAAGAACTCAGCCCATCCAAACATTAACTCTCAAATAACGGAGCCTACATGGACGCCGCCATGTTGCATGTTGCTTGTCACTAACTACCAGCGATAACCAGTTGTTTGCATTCGAGCGGCTGACCCTCAAACAACAAATCGAGCTGTTTGTGAACATTTGGGAACAAGCCGCGCGAACTCAGCCTCTGTTGACATGTACAGACAGTGTAAATCAGATGATATGATATCTAGTGAAAGTTTTGTTAAAAGAACATTTGCAGTTCATCAGCTTTTGTGTTGAATTTTGTATTGCACCGTAACTATGTTGGATAATATAAGTTAGTCAATTAAAGTGACCTGTACTCAGCTTATTGTCTCCGGTTCAGGCTGAATTTGGATTGCATTCCTGTAACGCACGCTGATGTACCTGGCAAGTGCAGCTGGAGGGCAATGGAGGGCGCTGCTGTCAAGAATTTAAAATCAAATCCGGGTCCTGGCACAGGCCGCAAAGCGACACATGAAATTTTGAGCATATCACACACAGGAATCAGCATTATAGTGCCCGGTGTACACTCACACTAAGCTGGGGAAGCCATTACTCTATGTGGCATGGTGCGTCTTACATTCAACAATACCCACACTAAAGCATTCCTGCCAGTCACACTCCTGAGGTGTTCTCCGACATGTTCTGTGGGCCTGGGTTTGATTCCTCTCCTGCACGGCCCTGTCTGCCAGTGACATTGTTTGGATCCATTTTGTGCAATCAATCACTGTAAGGGACCTGATGTGTGATGTTAGATGAAGCCATCAAAAATCCAGTCTTTTTCCTAGATTTGAAACCAGCTTAAAACTTTCACGCTTAAAGTTTTGAAATGTGTTTTCTTTTTAAGATGTTAAGGTCTTCTCTTCCTTTCACTCGCAGTAGTCGTGTTATTTCTTTCTTTGCTAACCCATACACTGTTAGTCACAAAGTCTTTCTCGCCGGGTTTTCTTTCTGTAGAACTACATCTTGAAAGAGGACCTGATCCGTGAGCTTCCGCCTGACCAGGCAGAGTACTGCATTTCAAGAATGGCACCCTACACAGGACCTGATGCCGTCCCAGGTGCCCTAGATTACATGTCCTTCTCAACAGCCTTGTATGGGGAGAGTGATCTGTGAGGAGGATACCAACTGGGATGTAGTCCAGCAGTTGATTACTAGAGCATTTCAAAATTAAACAAGAATGACAGGTGGTGAATTCATGGTACTTTTTAGTTGATAACCAACAGCTAGCCTTGTAGCGACAAAGTGTATATTGGTTTTCTTATTCAGAATATTTGTCTCAATGGTAGTACCAAGCAAATTTGTTCTTTCATTCTAGAGGGTTTTAAGTTTAGGATTTCATTGAGCAGTTTGGCTTTAACTAGTTAAAATAAAAACACCGAGAAACCAGAAACTGGCATATATACTAGACGAGTTGGTTTGCGGAGTGGTTTTACCCTGCTGTGATCTTATGAATGATATGAAATTGATTCCATCGTTAATGGCATTTGCATGTTTTCGCTGATGCATATTTCTCTGTTCGGCATAAGTTGTGAGAAGAAAACTCCCAATAAGGACTTCAGGTGGTGTTTTTTTGTATCTGCCTCTGTGCATGTGTATACATAAAATTCATCACTGAAACATAATTAATTGCTGTTTCGCTAGAGTGTTTTAATATTTATGTCACTTTTAATCATGCTTCCCAAAGACTTCTTTTAGCATGGCATTCATACAGTGGAAAAGAAAACATTTTATTATATATTTGTTTTTTTAATACTAACAATTGGTCAAACTTGTAGACAACATCAGTCTTCTCTAGGAACTTAATTATAAGTTGTACATTGATGAGTTACAAATACGTGTAAGTCCCGTGCCATACACGTTTGTTTTTAATAGTAAAACCTTACCTGAGGCTTTGTGGTGTTTTTATTAGGATGTAACGTTTTGTAATTGTGTATATGTTTTCCCAGACAGTTAGTTTGGATTTCCAGGGAGGTTGGAGAGTCCTCAGAGCAAAGGGGAAGAAGGGAAAATGTGGGAAGTGGTAGTCCTAGAAGTCCAAGTTTGTGTTCACAAGTTTAAAAAGTATTTTTTGCTGTGAAAAGTAAACTATGTCTGACTCAATCCTATAATATGTCATCGCTGTGTAGAGCACAATTAAGTTTCCGTAGATTCATGCAAACCTTTGTGTTGAAGAAAAGGAAAAGCGATCTGTTTTAAGAAACGTCATCAGGTGTTGACTGTACTGTGACAACAGTGCCATTGACCAGCGAAAAATAACTTACTGAGCAGCACCGATGCCACATTTATCATGCAGGTGACTCTGTAAGCGTACGCTTTTTTTGGGCTGTAGATTGCAGATCATTTTCATTGAGCAATTTTCAGACTCCATGGTATACATTGACAAAATCACTCCATTTCTAGCTGAATGTAGGTTTATACAACGCTTCTACAAACCTAGTTGGAGCCTTTTATAGCTAATTAGTTGATTGGTTTCCATGGTTGATAGGTAAACCAAGCCATGGAGAGCACATGTAGTTAAGGTTAGCTTAGCTTTTTCTTTTGAGGATATAAAGATGGCTTGGTTTTGGTTATGAGTTTGTTATATATTTTTGTTTGCATACAAAGCGAGATTAACAACAAATCTAAAATGATGATTATTTACTGTGTATGATGGTGACTGTTTAACAATTTTATTTTGTAGTTGAAAGAAAAAGGATTGAAGATGTGATAATTAAATCATAAGTATACCAAATAAAGTTTTTAAAAAGTTTAATTATTGTAAAACCGAGGTTAAAGACGTGCCTTACTATCTATGATGTGGTTACGGGAGTCCTTGGATATAGCTCATAATTTGGTGATTAATCGGGTAGATGCAAAGTAGAGTAATGTAAATGGTATACTTGTTTGAAAAATAGCGCCCAAAACTTAGTACATTAAGGTAATTGCTCTGTTGATGCATAACACTTTAGAAAAAATCTTGGTTTAGAAATGATTTTGTACTGTGAATTGTGAAGCAAGATGTGATTCCCAGCAGCTGTCAATGATCAAAGAATGCTTGCAAATTCAGGTACACATTGAAAATACTCAAATATGTACAATCTTAATATTTTAGAATGCAGCATGTAATTAGATACACAGCTTCAGCGGTGATGTTTTGTAAGAGTGGTTTTAATACACCTAAATGATGTGTACTTTTTGGGGGGATTTGGAGTGCAGAAAGTCTGCTAGACATGGGATAATTGTCATTTTGCTTTTACACTGTTCAATTGTTTGTGCATTATCACCACAAAGCAGTCGTGAGAAATTTTCTGTTAGGCTCATTTTTTATGTCTCTAGTGAATTTATAAACTTTTCTTTCAATGCCTGTACGCTTTACTGCAGTTCATTGTATGTCAGACATTTTCCCCGGAATTGTCAGTAAAATCCATACAAATGCTAGGTAAAATTGATACTTAAGTGAAAGTTTAAAAGCTGGAATGCAAGCAGTAAAATGGTTCCTTTTCTTTCATTGTGATATTGATATATTCTTTGAGAGTGATTGTTCCTTTTAGTATCGGTTCTGTCAGTGTAAAGGTTGGAAGCTCTCGTCATTTTCTCGTAAGCTTTAATGCTAGTTTTCTCCCATTGCAAGATCTTTACTTTCAGAAAACCCGCTAAGCAGGTGTGTTGTCTATGCTATAATTTTTATTCATTTATTTATTTTTATTTTGACTGCTTGTAATGCACACATATGCATTATAAGTGACAATAAATACGCTCAACCCTTCGTGTTTCTTATCCTAATGGAATGTTAGAGTTTTTGCAACATTTTGCTCAATACTATCTTAAAAGTTTCACTTTAGTTGTTTAATATAGAATTTGAAAAGTCTCAGTTGACGTGAATGAAATGGCTTGGGTATTCCCGAGGCATATATACTGTACTTGTAGCTAAACCTTGAGGTACGTTGTTTGAGCAATTTTTTTTTATCGCAACTCAGCCTCACTGGAATGATCTGCATTTGGAGAAAAAAAAAGAGTTGTCGGAGTTAAGATGGTGCTTGTAGGCAGTGTTGTAGTGTAGGCGTGTTGGGCGATGGATCGAGTGTGGTGCACTCAGAAAAAAAGACAAAGTCTCAAGTTTGGTCATTTATAAAATTCAGCAAAGCAAGCCCCCCCAACAACTCTAAATTAATTTAAAACCTTTGCAACTTTGTTAGATCTTTCTGTCAGTTTACGACCAGTGTAGAATTCCAGATCTAACTGTGGAGAAATCGGCAATTGCAGAAGATGGAATAAGTGGCGTAACTCTATTACACTTTTCAGTAAGAGTCAAAAGACTGCAATGGCAGTTGAAGACGAGGCGTCCTTCGTCATGTATCTTTGAAACTTCATAATTCAGTAATAATAAGGGAATTTGGACATTTCTAATACGTGTTGGAGGCGAAAGCGTCTTTCTGCGAAGTTAACTTCGTGGAGTCATTGTTGGAAAGACGTTTCTTGGGCCGTGGTTGGGCAGTTGGATCATTAATAATTTGCCTATTGTAATGTTTTCGCTAACCCTGTCATACGGCGCGAAATCACCTTTCTTTGTCTTTTTTTTTTTTAAAGTTGTAGTTGGACTTCTGTACTATGCAAAATAACTCATTAAAACCCGCCCGCAATCTTCCCACGAGATTGTGTCTTGTAAAATGAATTGTGGTGCATTTTTGTGTACGTAAGGTGGAGTAGATTACAGAATACCCGCCCGCTAGAGCTAGATTTGTTTTTACCACTGAAAAATGAGGCCAAAAAACCTAAAATATCGACCTACATCGGAAAATAAAATACTTGCGAGTCGGAACTTTACTTGTTACTTTAAGACCATTTTCAGTCACTTTCTACATGGGGTCAACGTTGTCTCCAAATACGTCTTTATAATGACAAGGGCGGATCCAGGACGAGTGGGCAAGGGTAGCCACCTCCCATCCCCAAAACAATAGCCACCCAGAAAAATGAAAATGAAATGAGAAGTGATTTTCTCTTTAGTCCATCTCTCTTCCTTCAAAAACCACGTTTTAAAAGCCCCAAAATTTAATCTTGCCCTCTGAGAGATCATTAAAATCACAATAGTTTAGAGTGTGTATACGGATTGGACATGTTGGGGGGGCCATCCATCGGCCCCATATCGTGCACGGTGTCGTGTTGCAGGTCAGGCTGATCTCGATACCACCATATTGCCGGTCTTGGGTCGAGACCGGCAATTTTTTTTCAGGTGTGCGTTACGGTCTGCATGCAGGATGTATGCACATAATACGGGCGATTCACAATAGTGTGTCACCAAGAGTTTGCAACGGGCGAAATCCGTCGACACTTTCCAAACGCGCAATTGGTGTACAGACTTCGCGCACTGTGATTGGCTAATGCGTTGCAAACTCTTGGTGGCGCACTGTTGTGAAACGGCCGTATTTATGACGCACGTGACGACGACGCTCGTGCAATATTTCCCTGGCATTTTCCCGTAACGTGGTAACGCAGCCATTATTTTTTCTTCGCAAGTTTTGAGGTACTGCAATGATTTGTGTAATGTTTCATGCAGGGGACTTAATCCAGCAAGTGACAAATTTCTGCAAACAGAAAACCTGAAAGTATATTCAGGAAGCGTACAACAACGAAGAGGGTGACTTGAGACATAAGATCCACTTGGTGAAGAGGTTCAGCTGAGCAGGGAAGGGTGAACTGATACCAACTACACTTCAGGGCCTTTTGGATCATTCAGCGATGCCTCTATGAGCTCCACAGACGCGTGAAAGTTGCCACGATGTTACTAGTTAAAGTCTAAATCGTGCGAGAGAAGCTTTTCTGTCATGAAATTAGTTAAGACATAATGTTAGAAAATCCATGGGATATGGACGACTGAGTGATCTCGGGATGCTTGCAATCGAGAAAAGAAGAACAGAGGAGATAAACATGGATGAGTTTGGAAGAATTCGCTTCACTGCACAAGAACTGAGATGAATTAAATTGCTATAGGTCTTAGGTTCGAATTAAGCCATATACGAGCGTTGCATGCCGTGACTTACCTGCACCTTCGCGCAGGTTGGTAGATACTCTGGGCAGCGCGGGGAGCAAAAATGTTTCCTGGTGTAGAAATGAATGCATGTTTGAACATTCCCCCATGGTTTAAAACAGGAGCGAAGGGGCATAAATGATTCTGTTTACATTGTTTATTTTCTTTCGGTAGCGTACACATGCATATCCTGAGGACTGGATGTTGGACATTATGTACATGTATAATAATGTCCAACATCCAGTCACCCCCCCCGCACACACTCTTTAGCGTGAAGCTCCCGCTCCACGCCCCCCCCCCCCAGTTCAGGATCCAGGCTCAGTACGCCACTGCTTACAACGTGCTTCTGTTTGTATAGATTATGTATAAACACATTACTGTAATCAAACTGTAGTTTGCTGTGTGCCAGCAAAGACAGTGCCATATTATCTCTTGTTCCTGTGGTTAAGGAAGCTTGAGGAAAATGCTACATGTATTTTTTCTCCAACTAGGATAACTCCTTCGAGCTAGATTTTTGATGATGATTTCCAGGACTGTTCCTCTTCATTCGACCACGGATAACCTTGACCCCAAAATGCCTCTGAAACTGTTTTTCAGAGAGGGGAAAACATTGTGTGGACGGTGTGCGAGTCCATAAAACGCCATCATACCCTACATTATGTGGACTTCTTTTGTGCAGAGGTCGACACTATGCATGTATGCCACACCTGCACAGTTGAGAACAAAGGCATGTCCACACTTTATATGTAAAACATGTATATGTGTATAGTATGTATGTTTATAATTGACGTTTAGGGTCGTCGTCTCAGGTCTGAGAAACGGGATACGTGCACAGGGATAAGCATCCCGGCGCATCTGTAGACTGTGCAACCCCGAATGGGCATGTGGGTGGGGACAAGCGGAATTTGTGCTGGGACTCGTATCACTCCAGCCTAATTTCCAGCACATTCAAAAATAGGTGTTCTTGTGTGGTTTACCCTTGCCTTTGACAACTGTGGTTGACAAGTGTGGTTTACTCCTGTGATTTACAATTAATTGTGGGTTATACTTGTGGGTTACCTATGTGGGTTTACACCTGTGGGTTACTTTTGTAGTTGACACTTTGGATTAGATTTGACTGCAAGCTTCCTTATGATTAAACCTGTTTATTTCATAAAATTGTATAAATATCACAGACACTATGAACATCAATAACAAAAGAGTACAGTTCAATAACAATGGACGCTAATTGTTAGTGCATGTGTTTCTGTTGTTAGATGTTCGTGGTGAGAACCATTGTAAGATTTATTAAGGATTAAGTTGCTTGAAGTAATTATTATACCAATTGTTCCCCAAAATAAAATGTCCCCTTGGTGTGTCCAACTTCCCCTGTATATGTGAACTCAATAGATCAACCATCAACTACAAATCAGTGGCAAATGGCTCCCAAAAAAATCCATACTTCTTGGACCCTACATCGCTCTGACGGTCTTTGCAGCTCCGAGAAGAATGGGGCAGGAATCCAGCTGAGATACGACACAATATTATCGACAGAGTGCACCGTTCCCGCTCGTCGAGCTGCTGTTTTGCCCGCTAGACGAAAAGAGAGGACACGTAGAGTATGGTGGCCCTGAAGGGACATAAAATTCACGACTAGTCCCGAAATTTTGTGCGACGTCCTGAATTTATTCAAGACTTGTCGCGAATATAATCATGTGAGACGTCATGAATTTATTCGTGACTATTCGCAAATATTTTTGTATTGCGACGTTCTGTATTCACAACTTATCGTTAATATTTGTACGACTAGACGTCGTGAATAGATTTGTGCAACGTTGTGAATATTTTACGACATATGTCATGAATAAATTCACTAGTCACAAACTTTGTCGCGAGTATTTTTCCAGTGATATTGAAGGATTTGATATTTGCCCGACCGGCACGCAAACGCTTTCTAAGGCCGTCGAAACAGGCTTCCGGAGCTACGGCT